GGACTACTCATTTCTCTCTCTCTCTCTCTCCCTCTCTCTCTCTCTCTCTCTCTCTCTCTCTCTCTCTCTCTCTCTCTCTCTGTGTCTCTCTCTCTCTCTCTCTCTCTCTCTGTCTCTCTCTCTGTCTCTCTCTCTCTCTGTCTCTCTCTCTTTAATTTTTTTTAAACAAATGACGTTAATATTGAACTCAGGTTTTAAAAAACAAAACAAAAACACACAAAAAACAGTCAGGCGTTTTGATGAATGATTGCGGGGACATGGGTGATGGCTCACAATCACTGGGCATGGTTTGGTATACCTGTGTATGGTTCTCTAATACGGGATGCCCACTGCGGATGGGATCGGGTCCGGTCGGGTCGGGTCGGCTTGTGCCACGATAGCCGATATTGTGACCATGTTCTTCTTATCATTACTATTAATATGATTATCATTTTTACAATATAATATTGTTATTATCATTATCATCATCATAATCACCACTGTCCCCAGACTGTGAATCTGAACTCGGAAAGGAACATCCTCATCATGGGCATGTCTGTTCTGCTTGGATTAATGCTTCCATCTTGGATGAAGAAAAACCCGCATGCCATAAACATAGGTAAAGTATCTTATTTAGTTCTTCCTTGCTGTAGTGAATGACTTGAACTTGAACGCCTTTCCCAAAGTTAGTTTAATAAATAATAAATGTCGTTGTGCATGAAATCAGCATCAGTAGAAGTAGAAGAGACGTAACGAATAGCGCTTTTACTTTCAGTGGTGGTCCCCCCCCGCCCCCCGTCCTCGCTGTCCTATGAGAACATGTCTTTGAGTTTGCGACTCGTAGTACAGATTTGTCGAAACGAAAGTGGAGACATCAGACGCTTATCTCTAGTAGTTGGGTACTACCCAAATAGGTTATGGTTATTTTATGCACTGTTTGGTTTGGGATGGGTGTGAGCGCTTTCGTGATTGGATGCAAAGGTCTGAATATTACTATTATTACATGAAACGTTTAGATAATCATACGGAGAATGTCAGTGCTGTATATATTTTATATCTATAGATTTAGTTATCTGAGTATTCACAAAACTATTGATCTTTTCTCCTGGAAAACTATTAGTTGTTTATTATGGGGGTTGGGGGGAAGG